GCCCAGTATTAAGTCTCTTTTTACTTGACAGAATGCAAAATAAAGTGAAGAGAATGTGAAAACCAATGGTAGTTTTAATAGACATGGCAGATTTAGTTATATTGTGTAAAGTTACTAGTGAAGTAGGATACTAAATCTCAAGACCTATTTTTAAGGAAATTTTATTAATTTCAGGAGTGTATGAGTAATTACAATATAGAACGATATACTCTGAGGCTTAGAAAAGTAGTAAATCTCTTATGCTTTGATGTAGTTGTAAACAGGTGTGGTAGCACAAACCTGTAACCCCAGCACCTGGTGGAAGGCTGAAGCAGAACACCAACCTGGTTACACAGCAAAACCTTTTGTCAAACGAACAAAACAGCAAAAAGTGGTGGTAGATTTTGTGACTAATCCAAAATGTTCTCCTTGTTTTCTTTCTTAAATCACGGTATATATAAAATATTAAGTGTTTCCTTTAAAAAGTTATTTTCTTATACAAGTTTTTAAAAATCTGGTTCCAGCACTGAAAAGATGTTTACAATCTAAAGAATCTGGTAAACAATTTATGAAGTGCAGATAAATCTGTAATGTTCTCCAAGTCTTTTTTTTGTTGTTGTTCTCCAAGTCTTTAAAGACAGTTAAATTAAAAAAAAAAACTTAATAGGCTCCTAAAAGAAAAAGTAAAGAATTATAAATCTTAACAACTGAGCCGGAGATTTAGCTCAGTGGTTTCACTGCCTGCTGCACAAGCGCAAGGACCCGAGTTCAATCCCCCGCACCAAAAAAAAAAAAAAAGATAATTGTTCTAAAAATCACCTCAGCACCACCTGTATATCAAGAGAAAGATCACCCAAAAAAAAAAAAAAAAGAACAAACAACTGGGCCGGGGATTTAGCTCAGTGGGACTGCCCTTGCAAGTCCAAGGTCCTGAGTTCGATCCCCAGTACCAATAAATAAATAAATAAATAAATAAATAATGTTAACAACTAATAGTATAAAAGTTCTTTTAGGAAAAGAATACTATCAAACCTTGATAATTTAATAAGTTTCATTTATTCTTCTCTATCTTTCTTTTTTTTGAGATGTTAGGGATTGAATCAGGGCCCTGTGCATGCTAGGTCTAAGCTATACCACCAGCCCCAGTGAGTTAATTTTTTTAAAAGTGAGAGTCAGGGTCGGGGATTTAGCTCAGTGGTGCTGTTCCTGGCTCACAAGCACAAGGTCCTGAGTTTGATCCCCAGTACCAAAAAAAAAAAGTGAAAGTCAGCCAAGCATGGTGGTGCATGTCTATAACCCCAGCATTTAGGAGGCTCAGGAAGGAAGATTGCCATGAGTTCAAGGCTAGCCTGAGCTACATAGTGAGTTCTAATCCCCAGCCTAAACTATGTACATAGCTAGATCCTGTCTTTCAAGAGAAAGTCCTTATTAAAAATCCCTTGTTTTCTTCGGCAAAATACAGAAAATCCTGGGGCCGGGGATTTAGCTCAGTGGTTCTGGTGCCTGCCTTACAAGCGCAAGGTCCCAAGTTCGATCCTCGGTACCAAAAAAAAAAAAAAAGAGAGAGAGAAAATACTGGATTATCATATTTAGCAGGAGCCATTGACGTTTTAAATGAGATTGAGAACCTTCAAATAGGGTTCTTGTTCAAATAAGTTTCTGTCTACCAGTCCTCCTTTCTGTATTTTTGAAGCCAGCTGGGTATTTCTGCGAGATCTTGTAGGCAGCTGATCTGTTATATGGCGTCTTTCTAGACATTAAGTCTTGATTTTGCCTTTTTGTCACATGGATGGCTCAGACCATCTCATATATCAATTCATATTCCTGGCAACATCCCTTTAAAGTTGCCGGGCTAATTTGGTGTACGTAGTTGTGCAGTCTTATGTAACCCAGTGCCCCTTGCTGATGATTATGGCCAAAAGCAACAACATTGTCAGTTAAAATTCTTCCGTGATATTATATGCCAAATTCTGGGTGTCTTGTGTCATGGAAACTTTACATCTTTTTCTGGCCAGAACCTTTATTTCTAGCTGATTTCAGCTTATATTTAAAAATATAATGTCAGCCACTAACAACAGTCTGCCAAGAGGATTTTGAACCATCAGTGTACTTCTCAAAATCAGAGTCAGATTTGATGTGTATCCTTTTGAGCATAAATGAACACATCCTTTGGTCCTATTCAAAATACTTTGTGGTGCCAGAGGAAGAAGAGGACCTTTAGAACTAGAAGCAGACCTGAATCTAAACCCTACCTCCATCACTTCCTAGCTCTAAGTTATTTCACTTCTATATTTCCTCATCTATAAAATATGGATAATGGCTACCTCAACATGAGATTGTAAATAATTAAATGAGAAACATGTTAAAGGGACTGATGCTGGGCCGGGGATTTAGCTCAGTGGTTCCGCCGCCTGCCTCGCAAGCGCAAGGACCCAAGTTCGATCCCCAGTACCAAAAAAAAAAAAAAGTGACTGATGCTGTACTTGTTACACAGTGATCTTGAAGTACTGTTAGTTTTTCTCTTGCTGATAGAAGAGATAAAATGCTGGACTAGACAGTGGTTTTGGTCAAGGGAGGCACTCTTTGTTGTTTCTAAGCATCCCTTTCTAAATATTTCAGTTATTATAACATAAGACATAGTTTGTTTTGAACATCTGTTATATGTCAAAATCTATACAAGAAAGATATGAGGCTAAGTAAGACATGGTAAAAATAAGGAAGCTCCCCTTCCTTGAGCTTATAGTCTAATGGAAAAGACAAGTGAGTATTTCAGTAATGAGTGGAAATAATAAGAACAAAAGAGGAATGGTATCTAATCACACTGTAGGCATCCAGGTGAAAACTCCTAGGGAAACTGACACTTGCAAAACATGGACGTCCAATCAGACGGAACAATATTTACAAAAGCTTGGAGACAAAAGAAAGCATGCTTTGTTCTGGAAAGTATCGATAGAACTGATGGAGAGGATGCATACAGAAGTTTAACAGGATGAAGCTGGAGAGGGGTAGGGATCAGATTTTTGCCAGCTGATCTGTTTTTGAACAACCCTATAGCAACTTGTCTGACTCAGAAGCAATACTAAGAACAGTGCTCTAGAAAGTAGTACAGTGTGCTCAACTCTCTCTTGTGTCCCCTAGGCCTCACCTATGATAGGTGCCCTGCTAATTATTTGGTTGAATTAAATAATCATTATAGTACTTTGGAATTTACAAAGTTATTTTATATGTCATTATATTTGACCCTCAGAACCCTACAAAGCAAATGAAGCATTATTATCATTTTAAATTTGAGGAAATTCATATACTGTTAAGAATTTTTATGTGTCTGATGTGCAGACAGAAATAGCCTTGGGCCGGGGATTTAGCTCAGTGGTTCCGACGCTTGCCTCAAAAGCACAAGGACCTGAGTTCGATCCCTGGTACCAAAAAAAAAGAAAAGAAAAGAAATAGCCTTGTTGTCAGTCTCACAGTTCTTTCATGTCCATGTAATATTCACAATCAGCTGATGAACAATCTGTCTCATCTGAATTTAACGTCTACCTTGTTTGAGGTGCTCTTAAGCTAAAATGTTAAAATGTTAAAAGTGAAGTTGTCTCAGAGTTCTTGAGTGCAGGGATCTTTTCTTGGCTAAATAGAACATTGGCTTATGTTCAGCACAACAGGATGGTATACAGAGTCAGGAGCATGAGTTTTTTAAAAAGTAATATAACTAACATGATTTGATCACTAAAATTTGTAAGCTGGTCTAAGCTATGTCATTTACTTTAGAATACCTTCTTAAAAGGGTTATTTTCTGTTATTAAGTTCCTGTGTGGGTGTTCATGTGGTAAAATGGTCTTACAGGCCTGAGTGGCTTCTTTACAGCTTTCTGGCCTATGTGCAAATGTCACTTGACATAGCATTTGGCTTCAGTTAGATTATTCATTTTTCAGTGGTTCATATTCCTTTCCTTCAAGTGTAAATTCCTTTTCTTCCACCTGGAACACCATTCTTAACACTTTAGGAATAAGTCCATTTGTCGTATGGGTATCTTCTTACCCATGTTTTCTTCAGCATACTTACTTTAAAACTATTTTTCCTGTAGTGAGAGGCATTTAGCCCAGGAGGGAACTTTCTATGTTTCCAGGATTTATCTCTTTTAGAAGTTGGAGGTGTTGTGTCATTCATCTGTGAAGAGACACTTCACAGCTGCTGGTTATTTTGTTTATAAAGAAACATTTCACTAGTTTTCATAGCATGTTTGACACCATGACTGATTAGAATGAGTGGATGTGTTCAGCATTTGTCTCCCTGCCAAGCAAATTCTAGCCTTTAGTTTCTCCATTAGGGGCTAGTGTGATAATACACATGGCTTAGAGACATAGCAAATGTTTTTCAGCCTCATCAGCTCCTCGAGAGCATGTTTTGATTGGCCTATAAATTTCTCTGAATACTAATGAATTAGGAATGACAAAGTAACCCCTTGAAGTATGAAGAGAATAGCCAGACATAGAGGTGCACACCTGTAACCCCAGCACTCAGAAAGCTGAAGCAGAAGGATCAGCAATTTTAAGATCAGCATGGACTACATAGTGAGACCCTGTTTTAAAAAAAAAAAATGAAGAGACTTTTATACAGGAAAAATTATAAGTGTTGGATACTATGTGAGCACATTAAAATTATTTTCCAGATTAGTCATGCTATAAAAATTTGACCAAAATGAAGTTGAACTGCTTAAGATACGTGTAATGAATAGCAGTTCATCCTTTTGACCAACTTCAGAACTAAAATTCTTAGTTTATATTAGTATTAATATTTTTGAGACTTCTTTAAAAATCATCATTGCCAGGTGTGGTGGCGTACACCTGTAATCCCAGTACTTGGGAGGCCGAGGCAGGAGGATCGCTGAGAGTTCGAGGCCAGCCCAGACTATATAGTGAGACCCTGCCTCAGAAAAAAAAAATCATCACTGATTCTCAGAGTTTGCTGTGTTCCCCTACTTATACCTAATCTTGCTTTTGTATGTGTTCATTCATTTGTAGAGTATAAATGGCATTCGCACAGAGGAGGTGGCTGTCATGACAAAAGGGTCTGCTGACCCTGACTCTGAATGGGAGGGCCCTGAGCAGTCAGTAGTTCCCAGTCAGAGGCAGATGACCATCCCGACGGAGTCTCCACAGAGCTTTGACTTTGGCTGCCTCTCCATAAGCAGCAAGGAGACAGAAGAGAAGGAGCAGGGGGCAGCTGGCTGTCTTGATATTAAGGAGATGCCAAGAGGCCCAAGTGGGGAATGTGCAGGAGTGGAGGAGGCCAGTACCTTAAAGTTCTCAGTATCACCAGCTTCCTGTCAGCTGCAGCCTGGTGAAAAAGGGGCAGACAGTAGTGAAGAACCTGTTACACCAGGAGAGCCACTTGGAAAACAAAATGGATCACTTCTTGACTCTCATGTGGTTAACCGGTTCCCCACCCTCATTCGAAGTTTCCAGGTAGTAACTGATTCGATGATGCAGGTCTAATGACTTTCTTTGGGAGAGGGCAGAATCTGTTCTGTGGAGGAGGTGGTGATGGTGGTGAGGGTAGTGGCCCCTGCTTTTTTTCAAAATCACAGAATAAAATAAAGTCTTTGATTGCTATAAAGAAATTCATTCAGAGGAATTAACTCCATGAGTAGAAATCCTTTCTCCCTGATGACTTAACAAAACTCTTGGGAGTGAAAACTCCAGCTACTTATCTGTGTGAAGCTGGTGTAAGTACTTTCATCTTTTCCTTGCTCAAATGTGGGCCGTGGGAAGAGATGACTTTTGGAGACTTCTATGGTGACCATGTTCCACAAATTCCAGAACTCCTGACAAAGGGGGCAACTAACCTTTGGATGAGATTTCAGGCCCCAAATAGTAATATATGTTCTGCAGCCACTTTGGCCAGCCACCACTCCCACTGACCCCACTCCCAGGGACTTCCCTGATTGTAGCACTAACTTCCTGTGCTGCAGTGGACAGCCTCTTAACCCTGTCACAATCATATGGTAATCTGAGGTTGATTCGTCTTCTGGGAGAAAGTGAGCGGATGGACAAGAAGGCCTTTAATATTCCACTAATGTTCATTTTTCTGAAATTCTGAGGTTAATCACCAGGTGGTAGTAGAACTGATTATTTTCTTTCCAGTTTTCCAAATACTGTTCCTTGTTAGTAACGCCAGAGTGAGTGTCTGACATTGATTTGAAAGAAGTTAATGAATTCCAGGGTAATGCATTCCAGTGCCTCTGCTACTTCATGTACCATTTGTACTTAGTGGAAGAAATGTGGCTGCTTTTCTTAATTATAATGGTGCAGCCACAAGGACAAATGAAAAGGATGGCTACTTGGCAAATAGTTTTATATTCAAATTCAGAAGGTCGGTCTGAAGTATTTTATGTCACCAGTCATAACTCTGATCTTACAGTTTTCCATTAAGCTTATGAAAGTGATTACAGTAATGCTGCTTTTTAATGTCCTTCCTGATGTCAGACCTTGTCAGGGTTACTTTGGAATAATGTTTAAGTCTTGGGCAGAGGAAACACCTTGGAGATTGAGCTTGCCCTTTTTTGATTCAAGCTAACACTTTGATCAGATCAATGTCAGAGGGCTTAGTTCTCCATAGCCTTCAGAAAGATGCTGCTAACAGTTTCTTTCCCACTTCACAGCCTCCACTGGTGAAGACTCAGACTGTCACCATCTCAGACACTGCCAATGCTGTGAAAAGTGAGATCCCCACCAAAGATGTCCCTATCGTCCACACTGAAACCAAGACCATCACGTATGAGGCTGCCCAGGTAGGACACCAGTTGATGCTTCAGAACCAAGACTGGAGCAAATACATTAAATAACCTTCTTTTTCACAGAGTTTCTAGTCGTTTATTACAGTAATGCCAGATTTGGGGGCGGGGGGGCAAATCTTTTTAGAAGATTACTGCCTGGGTGTGGTGGCGTAAGCCTATAATCCTAGCACTGGGGAGTCTGAGGCAGGAGGATCGATGCAAGTTTGAGGTCAGCGTGGGCTGTATAGTGAGTTTAAGGCCAGCCTGAATTACATAGCAAAAAACTCTGTCTCAAAAAACTAAAACACACACGCAAAAGAAGAAAAGATTACTGATCTAAGGATGTCCCCAAAATATCTTATTAAAGGCGAAATTGTCAGGGGTAGGGTTATAGCTGAGGGATAGAGCTCATACTTAACATATGTGAAGCCCTGAGTTCTGTCCCTCACCCAAAGGGTAGGGGTGGGGTGGGGGCCAGAACACACAAGACTATGTGAAAGACTGCTACTCTGGGACTACAGTAATGGAAGAAGTCCTCTCTGTGGAGGTGACATTTGGTTGAGGCTTGAATGCTGGCAAGGAGGAGCTGTGAGAAGCTCTCGCTGAGTGCTTTCACAAAGATCCTTTCAGGTGATTCTCACCTCACCACAAACTGGAAAAGAGTAGCGTGGTGGTTAAAACCATATACTTTGCAATTAGCCAAATAGAATTTGTATGCATCCTAGCTCAGCCAGGTAGGTACTGTAGCTAGATAATTTTAGACAAATTGTCAGTCTCTCTAAAGTTCTGTTTCCTGCCCACCATTGTAAGAGTTAAAGGAGGACCAGTGAATGATGTCTGTGAAGCACTTGCCACATTTGTAGACATTCCCTAGTGTAAGCATGCTTCCCCATTCTCCCTCTTTGTGGTCTAGAGGGTGGAATTGGAGTGGAGGGAGATAAATGAGAAGTTACTTAAAAGGTTTATAGTGTTGGTAATAAAGTGGCATAATTAAAACAATGATTTTGTAAGATGATTCCTAAAGCTGTGTGCTGAGTATGTTAAGAAAAGGCCTGGAAACAAGCAAGTGACTAGGGCATATCTGGGGAGATGCTTATGTAGAACTGAAGTGTAGCCTTAAGAAATGAGAAGAAAGAGATGTGTCAGTCAGAAGAAACAGAAATGAACAAGTAGGACTTGGCGATGAAGAGGACTGAAAAGGAAGGAATAGAAAATCACTTTAAGATTGCATACAATATTAGCCAGACAATGTAGGAAAGAATTATTAGCACATAGGAAGGAATCCCTTTAAATTTTCTCTACTATGAAAACAAACTAAATGTCCATTAAAAATTATGAAGCATACAATTAAGATAATTCTGTGTGGCTTCTGATGAGAACGATTTACGTGATAAATTTGTGAATGAACAATCATGGTGCAGAATGGTGTGAATAAGATGCTACTGTTTATGAAAGGGAAAAGGGAAGTATATATAGCTGTGTATGTAAGAGCTCTGTGTGTGTAGGCTTGGATAGCAAGTCACTGTCTCTGAATGGATATCAAAAAAATAAAATAACAAGCAATATAGTGGCCTCTGATGAATGAGACTGTAACTATGGGACTTTGACGGAAAGAAGACTAATTTTTCACTGTACACTATTTCCAAGTTTTTAAATTTTGGCTGGGCATGGTGGTGCATGCCTGTAATCTCAACACTTAGGAGGCTGAGGCAGGAGGATCACCATGAGTTTGAGGCCTGTCTGGGCTCCATAGTGAATTCAAGCCAGCCTGAACTACATAGTGAGACCCTGAAGAGAGAGAGAGAGAGAAAGAGAGAGGAGAAGAGAGAAGGAGAGAGAGGGAGAGGGAGGGAAGGCAGGAAGGAAGATGTGGGGAGGGACCATATACATATCAAGAAAATTTAATTGTTCAAAAGAAATTGGTTTGGTTTTTTGGGGGGTTTCTTTTGGTACCGGGGATCGAACTCAGGTCCTCGCACTTGCGCAGCAGGCAGTGAAACCACTGAGCTAAATCCCTGGCCCGCAAAAGAAATTGTTTTAATGGAAACAATTTTGTATATAGAGAGGGGAGAGGGTCTTGAGGGGGGAACTTGGAACAAAAAGCAGAGGCAGGATCTATCATGTACAGGTGCAAATTCTCTATGATGAGTGTTATGTATATCTAAAATGTACCAATAAATGTTCTACTGAAAAAAAAAAAAACAGACCAGCCGGGGATGTAGCTCAGTGATACAGCACCTGCCTGGCAAACATGAAGCCCTGAGTTCAGTTCCCGGTACCAAAAAAAAGAGAGAAGCCAAGCCAAAAAAAAGAAAGAAATTGTTTTAAAAGTTAGAGTCACCCTGCCCACAGAAGACTGCAATTTGAGCATAGCCCTTAAAAATGGAAGGAAAGCAGTCACTTAAAAATATCCCATCATGTAAAAGAAGTATAAAGTTAGCAAGATGTGCTAGACAAACCACATGGCTTTGGAGTTAGACTTAGTTCTCAGTTCTAACACTTACTAGTATTGTGACCTTGGGCAAATTGCTTAACCTCTTTCAGCCTTAGTTTTATCTTCTAGAAATTATTTTTATAGTACTGAAATAAAGATAATGTTTGGTACATAGTACAGAGTAGATATTCAAAAATGATAGCTATTACTTTATTATATTGTTATGCTTCTGACTTTATCTCATTTTAGCCAGTTTAAGACCGCCAAGATATAAACTGGTTTTTGTTATTGATATTAGACAGTGATGTATAGTGGGGAAGAGTGTTGACTATAGAGTAAGATTTCCTGGGTTTGAATTTGTTCCAGCACTTACTAGTGTGCAGTCAAGTTACTAAATTGTTGTGTTTCAATTTCCTCATTTGTAAAATGTAACTAATAGTTCTATGGGCCGGGGATTTAGCTCAGTGGTTCCGGTGCCTGCCTCATAAGCACAAGGTCCCGAGTTCGATCTCCGGTACCAAAAAAAAAACACCACACACTAATAGTCCTATCTCATAGAGTTATGAGGAATAAGTTAATTAATATAGATCATATGTTTCCAAAAGTTCCTGGCACATGATAAACACCAGGTATTTATTTGCTATTTTACATAACGTATGTATGTATGTATGTATTTACTGTAACCATTTCTGCTTTTGTTTTTATTATAGTGCTTGACAAATAAGCCCAAATACCATTTTCTTTTATTTGTTTGTAATCATACTTTGGACACATAGTAAGAGCAGATAGGGAGCCAGAGTAGGTTTTCCATTTGTGCATGTGTGCATATGTGCGTGTGTTTGAGATAAAATTTATACACAACAAGGGCTGGGGATTTAGCTCAGTGGATCCCCTGTTCCAAAAAAGAAAGAAAGAAAAAAATTTATACACAGCAAAATGCACAGATTTTAAGTGCTCCATTTGATTGGTTTTGACAAATGTCTATACCTGTGTGGCCAAGACACACTTCGGTTACAGAACATTTCAATTACTCCTGAAATTTTCTTTTAGACCTTTTCCATTTGGTCCTTAACCCTCTAGGCTACCACTCTTCTGATTTTTTATTTCTATCACTGTAGCCTCGCTTTGCCTGGTTTTGGACTACATCAAAGTGGAAGTATACTTTTGTGTCTGGCTTCCTGAACATAATGTTGTTTAGATTCATTTCCGTTATATGAATTAATAGTTTACTCTTATCTATTGCTGAATAATATTCCATTGTATGAGTATACCACAATTTTTATCCTTTTATTTATTGATGGAAAATTGGTTTAATTCCAGTTTGGGGCAAATACGAATAAAGCTGCTGTGAATATTCATGTACAAGTCTTTTTTATGTACATTTCCCTTATCTTGGGTAAGCAACTAAGAATAGAATTGCTGGATTGTAGAATAAGTGGATGGTTATAAGCAGTTGTCAAGGCCACGGTACCATTTTGAGGACACATTAGTAAGTGAATCAAGGAAAAGAAACCCCATGTGTGAAAAATAAAAATAGACAACCAGGAAATGCAAATCAAAACTGCATTGAGATTCCACCTCACCAGAGTCAGAATGGCTGTCATCAAGAATACAAAAACAATAAATGCTGGCAAGGATTTGGGGAAAAGGCAGCCTTCCTGCACTGTTACTATGGGAATCAGTATGGTAGCTGTTCAAAAAACTAAAAATAGTCACCATTTGATCCAGCCATACTACTCCTTGGTAATATAAGTGAAGGAATTAAAGTCAGCACACCATAGGGACACCCGGAAACCCATATTTATTGTGGCACAATTCACAATAACCAAGATGCAGAACAAGCCTAGGTGCCCATTAACAGTTGAACAGATAAAGAAAATATAATATTAACCTGGTATACACAATGGAGTATTATTCACCCATAAAAATAATGAAATTTTGTCATTTACAGAAAGATGAATGGACTTGAAGATCATCAGGTTGAGCAAAATGAGCCAGACTCAGAAAGACAAACATTCTGTGTTCTCCCTATTATGTGGAACCTAGAAAAAGATGACAAGAAAGTATAAAGGAGACTACTATTAGACAAGAAGGGAAGAAGGGGGAAGAGGAGGGGATGCAAGGATGGATATATAGGGGGTGTGAATATTATCAAAATTCGTTATACACATTGAAACCCCCAAAAATGTGAAAGTGGGAGGAAGGGAAGGCAAAGGGAGGATTGAGGTTAATGGATCAAGTGTGTTGGGTACATGTGCCAATAAGCCACAGTGAGATCCATACTCCATATGACCAGTAGCCACTAATCAAAATGTGGGGGCAGAAAGAGGTAGCCAGCCATACAGCATTTGTCCATCTTCACCTTCCTCAGAGACAGAAAAGAGAGTACAGGGTGGGTAGGAACAGAGACAGCCACAGGCTTATAGAGGAGAATCTGCAAAAAGGTTCAGCCCTCCTGGGATGCAGACTTATATTCTTACAGCAAATTATTCTGTTTTGTTTTTTGTTGTTGTTGTTTCTTTTTTTTTTTTTTTTTTTTTGGTACCAGAGATCGAACTCGGGTCCTTACGCTTGCAAGGCAGGCGATGGAACCACTGAGCTAAATCCCTGGCCCTGTTGTTGTTTCTTGAGACAGAGTCTCAGAATATAGTCCAGACTGGTCTTGAACTTACTGTGGAACCCAGACTGGCTTCGAACTCTCAGGGATGAGAGCGCTGGGACCACAGGCGTGCACCACCATGCTTGGCTATCTTACAGCAATTTATAAAGCCTTTTTTTTTTTTTTTTGGTACTGGGGATTGAACTCGGGTTCTTGCGCTTGGATTACAGACAGCGATACCACTGAGCTAAATCCCTGGCCCTATAAAGCATTTTTATTTCCATAATTTCCTTGGATCTTCTCAGCAATGCTATGGTGTAGGCAGAACACCTATCACAGTGTTGTCTTTTATAAATGAGAAAACTAAGTCTCAGATAAGTCAAAATGATTTGCTCAAAGTCCCATGGCTATTACTATCTGAGCTGGGACACAAACCTAAGTCTGCAGACATGAAGTTTCTTTCCTGGTCTGTGTCCTAGTTCAAACAGCTACTGGTTGTAGAACCTTGAACAAATTATTTAACTCTCTGGGTCCCAATTTTCCTAATTGCACAGTGAGTGTAATACTAGCATATACCTCACACATTGAGTGGTATCGTTGAGTAACAGTTGTGTGATGCGCTTGACACGTATGAGGAGTGTGGAAAATGTTAACTGGATCTAAGGTGGATGAGTGGTCTTAGCTAAAGAAAATATTAGTGAGAGCTAGGGATTTAGCTCAGTGGTTCTGCGCTTGCCTTGCAAGCGCAAGGTCCCAAGTTCGATCCTGGTACCAAAAAAAAGGAAATATTAGTGTACTAGCTAATACTGCACCTGGTATGATGGTAGTATGTGTATAAGACTTTGGTATCACAATTAGTTCCCTCTTGGTTTTATCCAGACTTCCACCTGGATGGGAACCCAACCCAGGACTTTCTTACTTCCTGATTCTCTTCTTCCTTAATTCTCTTCTCCATCTGCCCCTCCTCGTACTATCTCAGAGTTTGGGCTGAATGAAATGTGATCCTGCTCATAAAAGCAAAGCTAGGCACAGTGACACACACCTGAAGTCCCAGCTACTTGGAAGGTTGAAGCAAGAGGATCACATGAGCCCAGAAGCTTAGCACTAGCTTAGGCAATAAAGCAAAACCTCCTCTAAAAATAAGAGAAAAGAAAATAAAAAGTTGGCAGCCTGTGCTTGTAATACAGATGACTTATATAAAGAGGCAGAGAGCCAGGTGTAGGGTAGATGCCTGAAATCCCAGCTACTTGGGAAGCTGAGGCAGGAGAATCAGAAGTTTGAGGCCATTCGGGGAAACTTAAGAGACCCTGTCTTATAAAGGGGGAGCTGGAGGGCCGGGGATTTAGCTCAGTGGTTCCATTGCCTGCCTCGCAAGAGCAAAGTCCCAAGTTCGATCCCTAGTACCAAAAAAAAGTGAGGGAGCTGGGGATGTAACTCAGTGGCAGAGCACCCCTGAATTCAATCCCTAGTACCGCCAAGAGGAGAGAAGAACAGACAGAAAGATAGTAACAACACATTTTTGCTACAGTTCTTTATGAAAATAATTGCAGTTCTCTAAACCCCTCCTCTAATGCCAGGTATTTTATTTATTTATTTTTATTTTTTTGGTACCGGGGATCAGACTCAGGAACTTGCGCTTGTAAGGCAGGTAGCAGCACCACTGAGCTAAATCCTCGGCCCTAATGCCAGGTATTTTAGGTCACTGTTAACTGAAAAGCATGTTGCCATGGGTGGAGTTCATCCTTCAAATCTGGTTTATTTCCATCTTGGTCAGGGAGGCGTCAGGCATCAGCAGCTTTAACAGTCCAGTGTTTTGTTTATAATTATTAGGGTGAACTTGCCCCCTGCCAGCCATTCCTTTCCCTTTTTGCTAATGTTATTGCTCAGCCTGACCATAATATGTTGCATTGGTCATGATATAGTGAGTTCTGGAGAAATGGATATTCCAGCCCCGCTTCTCTACATAAATTAGTTGGATAGCCTGGTGTTGTAAATACTTAACAAAATCTCACCTACTAAGGAGGGTCCCTTTTCAATAATAATTTTGTTGTCGAAAATGTTATTGAAGCATATTATGGATATTTTCTCCCACTTTCTCTTAAAGGATTATTTTCCACTTCACTTGGTTCAGTTTTCCTTTTAATCTTTAAAGAAGATGGTCTGAAAATCTTTGGCCCCGTAGCCCTAGTCCTCTCCTACTTTCTGGAAAGTTTTATCCTATGATGCAGAACCTATCTGCGCCTTAGCAACTAAGAGTTTACAGCTTTCCTGCCTTGGATGATGTGTAAACGCCTGATCTGTAGAGAGAAAACTGCCACTTGCTTGTTTTGAATCCATAGGTTTTGAGTTCTGAACCTGAGCTTTATTTTCTTTTCTTCCCCCTCATCCCCCAATACTGAGGATTAAACCCAGGGCCTTATGCTTGGTAGGCAAGCGCTCTACCACTGAGCTATACCCCCAGCCCTCCTCCTCCTCCCCTTCTTCCTCTTCCACCTTTCCCCCACACCTCCTTCCTCCCCGCTCCTCCTCTTTTTTCCTTTTGAAACATAATCTTACTCTGTAGCTCAGACTGGTCTTGAACTTGCCATCCTCCTGCCCCAGCTCCAGGGTAGGTGGAATACAGGTGTGTGCCACCACACCCAGCTCAACCTGAGTTTTCTTAATGAAGGGTGATAAAAATCCCTGCCCTTTTCTTAATTTTGCAAGAGTGGCATGAGCATTAATAAAGAGGCTTTTTTTTTTTTGGTACCAGGGATTGAACTCGGGTCCTTGTGCTTTCGAGGCAGGCAGCGGAACCACTGAGCTAAATCCCCAGCCCGATAAAGAGGTTTTAAAAGCCATTCTTGAGCTTGCCGGGGATTTAGCTTAGTGGTGCTGCCGCCTGCCTTGCAAGTGCAAGGTCCTGAGTTCAATCCCTGGTACCAAAAATAAATAAATAAATAAAAGCCATTCATGAACTATAAAATGGCATGGTGTTTATGGATAGTGTCACTCTTGTAGAAACTATGCCTGTTTCCCTGCCTTCTCTTTCTGAGCTATTCCCATCACTGACCCAGTGCTAAGGAGATTGTACTCCTCCACTTTTGTAGAAGGAGTCTCATTCCCAGGGGACTTGTTCTATTTGTGAAGAGGTCACTGGGAGGGAATTAGAGTTTTGCATTAGAACATAGAACTGGAGAACAAAGCTGTAGCTTCCAGCACTTGCCCACAGTGCTTCCTACAAGGCAGGCTGATGAGCTGTGCTTTCTTCTTCAGACCGATGACAGCAACAGGGACTTGGACCCAGGAGTATTGCTGACAGCCCAGACCATCACATCTGAGACCACAAGCAGCACTACCACAACTCAGATTACCAAGGTAACAGAGCAGCTAGAGCTTCCTTATAAAATCCAGCAGCTTGCTGAGCTTGCTGCCACCCCTTGGAAAAAAGGACCCTGGTCCATAAACAAAGGCTTCCAGCTCCATCCCTAAGTGAGGTAAATTGGTTCCAGGGTCCCAGGTAGCAGGCTCCGGCTGCTCTTCCCAGCAGTAAACCTAGGGAGACCATGACAGTATCCCTGCCTACTTAGCAGTGTCATAAATCCACATGAGGTCATTTTCTTCATAGATCTCTCTGTTTTTCTGGATCTATGTGGCTGTGGAGGTAAGTGTAAAACTCCCCTTGGGCCTGGCACAATCTCCCCTTGGGCCTGGCACAGTGCTGCTTGCTTGTAATCTCAGATACTCGGGAGGCTGAGCCAGAAGGACTGTGAGTTCAAGGCCAGTCCTGGCAACTTAGTGAGTTCTTGTCTCAAAAAAATAAAAAGCACTAGGAATGTAACTCAGTGGAAGAGTGACCCTGGGTTCAATACCCAGTACCATAAAAAAAATAATTTTAGGGCCAAGGATTTAACTCAGTGGTTTTGCCACCTGCCTCACAAGCACAAGATCCCAAGTTCGATCCCCGGTACCCCCCCCAAAAAAAAATAATAATAATTTTAAAAAGTCCATTTGGGCTGATTGCCCATCAACTGGAAACTAAAGAAGATGTGGGTTTTTTATAAAATGGAGTAGTACTCAGCCATAAAGAATGAGAAATGTTCTAAATGGTTACACATTGAGGCCATACTCAAGTGAAATAAATAGGACACACATGAGTAAATACTGAATAGTTTCTCTGGTTTGAAAACCTAAAAGTGTAAATAAGGATCGAAATGTGTAATTGATAATTGAAATAGGAAGAAAAGGTCTAAAGGAGTAGGGGAAGTGGGAGGGGTATGAGAAAGGAAAGAAGGGAAAAGAAAAAAACATGAGAAAAAGAAAAAATGGAAACGAAATCTTTGTAAAGAGGGAAGGGTGGAGGGGGTGAAGGGAGGGCAGGGGAATGGGGAAAAAATAAGAACCAAG